CATTCCGGCCATTGCAGAATGTTTCAGAACATATATTTCCATGAATGGAACAAAAGAATCACAGTTGAAATCTTGCCTACAGGAGATTAATGACACTTCTCTGCTAGGGCACATCCCACAGGGCAATATGCAGGACAGCTCACAACTGTGCCTGCTTGGAAACCGGAAAGAGGGTCTAATGCAACTCCATGAAACCTAGTTCTAGGTCTTTGGACAAGTAGTTGTAGGGGGTTGAATGGTAGCCCCAAAAGTTCTGTTCATTCAGAACCACAGATTGACACTGTGTTTGGGAAAAAGGTTCTTTGCAAATGTAATTCAGTTAAGGATCTTGTAACAAGATCATCCTGAATTTGGATAAGGTTTCTAAGTCTGATGACATGTGTCTTTATAAGAGGCAGAAAGGGAAAAACAACAGAGACACCAGAAAGAAAGCCCTGTGAGGCCAAAGACTGTGCTAGGAGTGAGGCAGCTCTAAATGAGCAAAGCCAGGAGCCATGCAAAGCTAGAACAGGTGAAGAAGAAGGATTTTCTCTAGAGCCTTCAGAGGGAACCTGGCCTGCCAACATCTCAATCTTGAACTTCTGGCTTCTGGAACTGTGAGAGTCAACTTCTGTGGCTGTAAGTCACCAAGTTTATGATAACTTGTTATGGCAGCTCAAGGACAGTAACAGGATTCAGCTCTCCATATGCAAAGTAAAAGTCACCCCCGCCCTCCGCCGCAGAGGTTTCTGCTATAGGGTTCATGCGCTCACCAGAAAGACAGAGGGAGACAGAAAGTGAGAAATCAACCGCCTCCCCCGCCACCAGGGGGAGGACCACACCACAATCCCTTCTCCTCCATTCTCCTCTCAGGATCCTGGGCACGCACACACACATGCCTGGCATGAGTCTAAGCCACCAGGTCTGAGACTCGAACTGTGGTCAACCACATGGGAGTCCGGAGACATAGCCATTACGCCAACTGCTGGTCCCACAAAGTAAAAGTTCTGAAGTACAGGATCCCTGAAAGGTCTTCCAACTATGGGAACCAGCAGTTAGCCTAATGGCTATGTCGCTGGACTCCCACGTAGTCGACCACGGTTCGTGTCCCGGACCCGGTGGCTTAAAACTCACGCCGGGCGCGTGTGCGTGCGTGCCCAAGATCCCGAGAGGAGAGTAGAGGAGAAGGGATTGCGGCGTGACCATCCCCTCTGGGGGGTGATTTCTCGCTTTCTGTCTCTATGTCTCTCTCTATCTGTCTGGCGAGCGCACGCGCCCTACGGTGAAAATCTCTCAAAAAAAAAAAAAAAAAGGTCTTCCAACTATGATTAAGTAACTTGCTGAGCTGGCATAGGAGCAGCCAATCAATCAATCAATCAATCAATCAAAATACAGTGAGGCTAAAGGGAGAGTATTAGAGAACCTGAGAGATTCTCATTCTTTTTCAACTCCCATGTCTGCATAATCTCACCACTCTGGATATATGCAAAATCCAACCCAGAACTAAAACATGTTTAAGGGTGGAAAAGAAAACCAAACCAAACCAAACCAAACCAAAACCCTTTATCTTGTCAAGATGCCGGATGCATACCTATAAATACTGCAAGATATTTATATAAACACTGTTTCCTAGCTGACAGCTCTGTAGTTATAGTGAATACGAGTGTTATCTTCTACTTTCTCTTTGATTTAGTAGTCCTTTAAAATTCATTTAATCATTCAAATACATTTATTAAACATTTACTCTGGCAGGACATCTTCAGATGCAGTAGAGACATAGAAATAATCAAAGAGAGTCCTCCTCTCCAACCATCTAGAATTTGGTGAGAGAAACAGGCAATTAAACCAGAAGTTACAAAACTGCAATGAGCACAATAATGTCTGTTTTAGAGGTTGCCGGGGTCCAGCCTCGGCGTGGGTGGGTTATCTCGACGGAGGCAGCAAGGTGAATAGAAGACAGAGGAACACAGGACCAACATTCAATGCAACACAGACAAATCATGGAAAGCTTCTTGGATGAGGCAATATGTGACATACCCCAAAGATAAACAGATGTAATCAGGTGCAACAGAGGCAAAAAGGAATATAGTTAAATGCATAGTTACACAGAATTAATCTTAGGGAACTGGGCACTAGTGGGGCTGGGGCATAGTGGGCATGGAATGGCGTGATGGAAAACAGGTGTAGAGGTGTAAGCAGATATCATGTAAGGATCAGATGTGCCTCAACCAAGCTAAGGCAAGAGGAACGGGCTGAAAGTAGTCAACAGAGCCTATTCTTATTGGAAATTAAATATATATATATACGTGTGTGTGTGTGTGTGTGTGTGTGTGTATACATATATAGAGAGAGGGGGAGGAGG